TTGCTTGAAACAAGGAGGCAAAGGTTGCAGTGAGCCGAGATCACACTGTTGCACTCCAGCCTGGGCAACAAGAGTGCAACTCCATCTTCAAAAAAAAAAAAAAAACAACATCAGAAAAAGAAACATAGCAAGTTACATTTATTTAAATACCTTAAGCTTATAACAGCTTGTTTCCCAAGTAATCAAAAAAAAAAATAACAAAAAAACAATAAGCTGCATAAATTATCATCTTTTCGTTTTTTGTTTCTTTTGGAGAAAGAGTCAAAATGGCACAACTGCAGTCCAGAATGAACGACAGAGTGAGACTGGGACCCAAAAAAACAAAAGCAAAAAAATTACTAGGTCAGACGACGTGGCTCTGGCCTGTAATCTCAGCACTATGGGAGGCCGAGGTGGGCGGATTACCTGAGATTAGGAGTTTGAGATCAGCCTGGACAACATGGAGAAACCCCAACTCTACTAAAAATACAAAAAAGTAGCCAGGCCTATTGGTTGCATGCCTGTAATCCCAGCTACTCTGGAGACTGAGGAAGGAGAGTCACTTGAACTAGGAAGGTGGAGGTTTCAGTGGGCCGACATTGGCCCATTGCACTCCAGCCTCGACAACAAATGCGGAACTCCTCATAAAAAGAAAAAGTACCATGTAGGCAAGGCATGGTGGCTCATCCTTGTAATCCCAGTACTTTCAAAATCCGAGACAGGAGAATCCTTTAAGTCCAGGATTTTGAGACCAGCCTGGAAAACATATAGAAACCCCGTTTCCACAAAAAAAAAAAAAAAAAAAAAAAAGAAAGTAAATAAACAAACAAACAAAACTAGCTGGGCTTGGTGCCTGTGTTTTTAGCTCTTCAGGACGCTGAGGTATGAGGATAGCTTGAGCCCAAAGTTCAAGGCTGCAGTTAGAAGAGATCATGCCACTGCACTGCAGCATGGGAAGATAGAGCCAGATCTGTCTCAAAATACTACTTTTTTTTTTTTTTTGAGACAGGGTTTTGCTCTTGTTGCCTAGGCTGAAGTGTAATGGGGCCATCTCAGCTCACAGCAACGTCCACCTCCAGGGTTTAAGTGATCCTCCTGCCTCAGCCTATTTACTAGCTGAGATTACAGGCATGCCCCACCGCACATGGCTAATTTTGTATTTTTAGTAAAGATGGGGTTTCACCATGTTGCTCAGGCTGGTCTTGAACTCTCGACTTCAGGTGATCCGCCCGCCTTGGCCTCCAAAGTGCTTGGATTACAGGCATGAGCCACCATGCCCGGCCAGACAATACATAATTTTAAAAGAAAATTAGAAATACACTTTCATTTGCTAGCGAAGTTAAAGAAATACAAATAAACTTCTGGAGGTGAGAAGCTTGTACCCTGAAATTTACACACATTGATCAAAAAATCTAAATAGATATATGACTCTTTTTTTTTTTTTCCTAAGATGGGGTTTCACCATGATGCCCAGACTGGTCTTGAACTCCTGACCTCAGATGATCCACCCACCTCGGCCTCCCAAAGTGCTAGGATTACAGGCGTGAGCCACCACGCCCGGCCGATATGCAACCCATTTTGATAGACTGGAAGTATTAATATTATTAAGTGATTACACAACCCAATGTGATTTAGACTTAACACAATGCAGATTAAAAAAATTTTTTTTGGCCGGGCGCGGTGGCTCAAGCCTGTAATCCCAGCACTTTGGGAGGCCGAGGCAGGTGGGTCACGAGGTCAAGAGATCGAGCCCATCCTGGTCAACATGGTGAAACCCCGTCTCTACTAAAAATACAAAAAATTAGCTGGGCATGGTGGCGTGTGCCTGTAATCCCAGCTACTCAGGAGGCTGACGCAGAATTGCCTGAACCCAGGAGGCGGAGGTTGCGGTGAGCTGAGATTGCGCCATTGTACTCCAGCCTGGGTAACAAGAGTGAAACTCCGTCTCAAAAAAAAAAAAAAAAAAAATTTTTTTTTTTTTTAGTTTTGTTTTATTGCCCAGGCTGAAGTGCAACGGTGCGATCTTGGCTTATTGCAACTTCCACCTTATTTCAAGCAATTCTCCTGCTTCAGCCTCCCGAGTAGCTGGAATTACAGGCATGCACCACCACACTTGCCTAATTTTTTTGTATTTTTAGTAGAGACGGAGTTTCTCCACATGGGTCAGGCTGGTCTTGAACTCCCAAACTCAGGTGATCTGTTCACCTCGGTGTCCCAACGTGCTGGGATTACAGGCATGAGCCATGGCACCAAACTTTTAAAAATCTTTCTTAGTGGCTGGTCCTGGTGGTTCACACCTGTAATCCCAGTACTTTGGGAAGCAGGGCAGGTGGATCACCTGAGATCAGAAGTTTGACCAACCTGGCCAATGTGGTGAAACCCCTTCGTCTGTAAAAAAAAAAAAAAAAAAAAAAAAATTATCAGTTGTTTTTTGAATACAGTGTCAATAATGTAGCCCAGACTAAAGTGAAGTGGCATGATCTTGGCTCACTGCAACCTTAACCTTCGAGGCTCAAGTGATTCTCCTTTGTTAGCCTCTTGACTAGCTAACATTACAGGCACTCACCACCACACCCAGCTAAATTTTTTAATTTTTTAGGGCAGAGAAGGTCTCACCATTTGGCCAGGCTAATCTCAAACTCGTATCCTCAAGTGATCCACAGACCTCAGCTTCTCGAAGTGCTAAAATTACAGGCGTGAGCCACTGTGCCAGCCTAGGTTTTGTTTAAAGCAACAAAAACCAGGCCAGGCAGTGAAACTGTGTCTTTACTAAAAATACAAAAACTAGTTGAGTGTGGTGGCATGTGCCTGTAGTCTCAGCTACTTGGGAGGCTAATGTAGGAGAATCGCTTGAACCCAGGAGGTGGAGATTGCAATTAGTTGAGTTTCTACCACCGCACTCCAGTCTGTCAAGAGCGAGACTTTCTCAAAAGAAAAAACATTAGCATGGTATGGTGGCACGTGTTTGTAATTCCAGCTACTTGGGAGGCAAGAGCAGAATTGCTTGAATGTTACCGGTAGGTGGAGGTTGCAGTGAGCCCAGATTGTACCATGGCACTCCAGCCTGGGTGACAGGAACAAGACTTCATCTGAAAAAAAGAAAAAAACAGGTTGAGTAAAATGGCTAACTTCTGTTGGCCAGGCTGGTCTCAAACTGTTAACCTCAAGTGATCTACCTGACTTGGACAAGTGCAGACATGAGCCATTGTACCTGGCCCATTCTTTTTAACATGAACACTTTTTCAAGGTGGGTGGATCACCTGAGGTCAGGAGTTCAAGACCAGCCTGGCCATTATGGTGAAACCCCATCTTAAAAATAATAACAAAAGGCTCAAGCCTGTAATCCCAGTACTTTGGGAGGCCGAGGCGGGTGGATCACGAGGTCAAGAGATCGAGACCATCCTGGTCAACATGGTGAAACCCCGTCTCTACTAAAAATACAAAAAATTAGCTGGGCGTGGTGGCGCGTGCCTGTAAACCCAGCTACTCAGGAGGCTGAGGCAGGAGAATTGCCTGAACCCAGGAGGCGGAGGTTGCGGTGAGCCGAGATCATGCCATTGCACTCCAGCCTGGGTAACAAGAGCAAAACTCCGTCTCAAAAAAAATAATAATAATAATAATAATAACAAAAATAATAATAATAAACAAAACAAATACTTTTTATGTAAAAAAAAATTTTTTTTTTTTTTCTTTTTGAGACGGAGTTTCACTCTTGTTACCCAGGCTGGAGTGCAATGGCGTGATCTCGGCTCACCACAACCTCCGCCTCCCGGGTTCAGGCAATTCTCCTGCCTCAACCTCCTGAGTAGCTGGGGTTACAGGCACACGCCACCATGCCCAGCTCATGTTTTGTATTTTTAGTAGAGACGGGGTTTCACCATATTGACCAGAATGGTCTTGATCTCTTGACCTCGTGATTCACCCACCTCGGCCTCCCAAAGTGCTGGGATTACAGGCTTGAGCCACTGCGTCCAGCTTTATGTCAATTAATACTTGAACTCAATGTTAAGTCAAATCAAACTCAAGTCAGTGCTGAATTGACTCTAATGTCAATTAATGCTTGAAGGTTTGCTATACTTTTTGCATTTGGAACAATTATCTCAAAAATGAATTTGCTTATTTTCTACAAGGACATACCTTGGACTGAAGACCTTGCCACACTTAAGACATTTGTAAAATTTCTTTCCAGGGCCGGGTGCGGTGGCTGATGCCTATAATCCTAGCACTTTGGGAGGCCGAGGTGGGTGGATCACCTGAGGTCAGGAGTTGAAGACCAGCCAGGCCATTAGGGTGAAACCCCATCTCTTAAAAAAAAAAAATTCTGTCCAGTATGGATTCTCAGATGTCCAGGGAGGTGTGAATCTGAAGTAAAGGCTTTGCCACAATCATCACAGTTGAGAGATTTTTTTTCTGTATGAATCCTGTTTCATTTACAATGAAGCTTGACTGAACACCTTGCCACAATTATGATGTCTGTAAGGTTTCTCTCCAGTATTAGTTCACTGATAAACTGCAAGGTATGAATGATGTCTGAACAATCTGCCACATTTGTTACACAATAGAGTAAAATCTCTATTGTGGATTCTCTACTGATATGCAATGGTTGTAGCATTACTGAAGACTTGGTGAGAATCATTGTATTAGTAAAGTTTCCCCTATATCATGGATGGCCTGATGGTGAGTAAGTGTTGACTGTGCATTAAAGGTTTTGCCAGACTCATTGCACTTGTAGGGCTTCCCTCCAGTATAAATTCTATGATAGATTACAAGGTATGACATCAGACTGAAGGTCCTGCCACACTCATTACACTGGTAAGTTCCCTCTCCAGCATGAAGTTTATGATTGACTACAAGGGATAACATCTAATAGAAGGTCTTGCCACACTTATTACACCTGTAAAGTTTCTCTCCAGTATAATGTCTACGATGATATGTAAAGGATAATGAGTGACAGAAGATCTTGCCACTCTCTGTGCAAGGCCTGAATCATGCCTAAAAGCCTTCTCACAAACCTTACATTTCTACGGTTTTTCTCCAGCATGAATTATTTTATGTCGTTCAAGGTTTGACCTGCGACTGAAAACTTTGTCGCATTCTTCACATTTGTAAGGTTTCTCTCCAGTATGAAGTCTATGATGACGTGAAAGGTGTGTTTGTTTATTAAAAACCTTGCCACATTCATTACATGTGTAGGGCTTTTCTCCAGTATGAATTCTATGATGGCATTTCAGGGATGACTTCTGCCTGAAAGTCTTGCCACACTCATTACACTTGTGAGGTTTCTCTCCAGTATGAATTCTTTGATGTTTTTTAAGACATGAAGCACTCCGGAAAACCTTTTCACAAACCTTGCATTTGTAAGGTTTCTGTCCAGTATGAAGTCTGTGATGGCACTTAAGCGATGACTTTTGACTGAAGCTCTTGCCACATTCATTACACTTGTAAGGTTTCTCTCCAGTATGAAGTATATGATGACGTGAAAGGTGTGATTGTTTATTAAAAACCTTGCCACATTCATTACATGTGTAAGGTTGCTCTCCAGTATGAATTCTATGATGGTATTTCAGGGATGACCTCTGACGAAAGGTCTTGCCACACTCATTACACTTGTAAGGTTTCTCCCCAGTATGAACTCTCTGATGTTCTTGAAGGTACGAATGACTCTGGAAAACCTTCTCACAAACTTTGCATTTGTAAGGTCTCTCTCCAGTATGAGATCTATGACGGAACTGAAGGTTTGACTTCTGAGTGAAGGACTTACCACACTTATTACACTCATAAAGTTTCTCTCCAGTATGAACTCTATCATGGCATTTCAGGGATGACTTTCGACTGAAAGTCTTACCACACTCATTACACTTGTAAGGTTTCTCTCCAGTATGAAGTCTACGATGACGTGAAAGGTGTGATTTTCTATTAAAAAGCTTGCCACATTCATTACATGTGTAAGGTTTCTCTCCAGTATGAATTCTATGATGGCATTGCAGGGATGACACCTGACTGAAGGTCTTGCCACACTCATTACACTTGTAAGGTTTCTCTCCAGTATGAAGTCTATGGTGACATGAAAGGAGTTCTTTTTGATTAAAAACCTTGCCACATTCATGACATGTATAAGGTTTCTCTCCAGTATAAATTCTATGGTGGCATTTCAGGGATGACTTCTGACTGGTCTTGCCACACTCATTACACTTGTAAGGTTTCTCCCCAGTATGAACTCTGTGATGTTTTGCAAGGCATGAAGTATTCTGGAAAACCTTGTCACAAATCTCACATTTGTAAGATTTCTCTCCAGTATGAAGTCTATGACGGCATTTAAGGGATGACTTTTCACTGAAGGTCTTACCACACTCATTATACTTGCAAGATTTCTCTCCAGTATGAACTCTATGGTGGCATACAAGGTAGTGCTTCTTATGAAAGGCTTTGCCACACTCACTACAATGGAAAGGTTTTTCTCTCATGTGTACTTCCTGGTTTTGTGTGCATAATGAAGAATGGAGGACATTATTCTCATGCTTATCATAAACATGGGTTTTGAGCCTAAAAGAAATTCTTTGGGCTGTGGAAACTGAGGAATCATCATGGACAGACTTCTCTACTTGATTATCAATGTTTCCTTCGGTCTGAAATATGTGCAGTTCAGGCAGATGTGAACGAAAGCTTAATACAAGCTGATCTCCAACAGGCTTCTTGCCAGCATGCCTTTCCTCACATTGCCGTGTACTACCAGATAACTCCTTGGGTTCTGTCATGAGTGCTTCATGGCCATTTCCTTTGACTTCTTGCCACTGAAACTCAAACTCATGAACATCTTTCTGAACTTCTGGGAAGCAAAAATCTACAATGTGATGACTTGTGTATTTTTCCAATGTCCCTTCTCTTGTACTCCCTTGCCCTGCTGGTGAGAACTTCATCATGGATTTTAAAAAGCTATCTGAAAAATATAAAGACCAACAGGTTTCCAATTAAGTATAGATAGTAAATAATAGGTAATATTGAAATGTGTAAATACTACAAAAAGAACAAGAGTTATTTTATTTTTTTTGAGACGGAGTTTCGCTCTCGTTACCCAGGCTGGAGTGCAATGGCACAATCTCGGCTCACCGCAACCTCCGCCTCCTGGGTTCAGGCAATTCTCCTGCCTCAACCTCCTGAGTAGCTGGGATTACAGGCACGCGCCACCATGCCCAGCTGTTTCGTATTTTTAGTAGAGACGGGGTTTCACCATGTTGACCAGGATGGTCTCGATCTCTTGACCTCATGATCCACCCACCTCAGCCTCCCAAAGTGCTGGGATTACAGGTGTGAGCCACCACGCCCGGCAGAACAAGAGTTATTTTAAACTTCTCAAACGTGATCTTCAAAGTTTATGAACACCCATCTTCTAAAAAGACAAAAATTAACAGGAACATGTGAGTTCCTGTTAATCCCAGCTACTCAGGAGGCTGAGGCGAGAGAATCGCTTGAATCCAAAAAGTGGAGGTTGCAGTGAGCGGAGATTTCACCGTTGCACTCCATCCTGGGCAACAAGCGCAAAATTTTGTGTCAGAATAAAAAAAGACTTCAATCAAGAGACTTATGTGTGAAACTTCCCATATCTTTTGGTGGTTAAAAAACAAAAAAATTAGCCGGGCGCGGTGGCTCAAACCTGTAATCCCAGCACTTTGGGAGGCCGAGGCGGGTGGATCACGAGGTCGAGAGATCGAGACCATCCTAGTCAACATGGTGAAACCCCGTCTCTACTAAAAATACAAAAAATTAGCTGGGCATGGTGGCACGTGCCCGTAATCCCAGCTACTCAGGAGGCTGAGGCAGGAGAATTGCCTGAACCCAGGAGGCGGAGGTTGCGGTGAGCCGAGATCGCGCCATTGCACTCCAGCCTGGGTAACAAGAGCAAAACTCCGTCTCAAAAAAAAAAAAAAGGCCGGGCACGGTGGCTCAAGCCTGTAATCCCAGCACTTTGGGAGGCCGAGGCGGGTGGATCACGAGGTCGAAAGATCGAGACCATCCTGGTCAACATGGTGAAACCCCGTCTCTACTAAAAATACAAAAAAACTAGCTGGGCGTGGTGGTGCATGCCTGTAATCCCAGCTACTCAGGAGGCTGAGGCAGGAGAATTGCCTGAGCCCAGGAGGCAGAGGTTGCGGTGAGCCGAGATCGCGCCATTGCACTCCAGCCTGGGTAACAAGAGCGAAACTCCGTCTCAAAAAAAAAAAAAAAAAAAAAAAAAAAAAAAATTTTAAAAAGTAAAAAAATAAAAAATAAATTAAAAAATACAAAAATATGAAGCAGTGAGCCCATGCAATGTCTACATAGTGACTGCTGCTTAGAGAAGATGATCATTAGTTTATATGAAGAACACTGTCACAGTGCCAGTAAGAAATGCTTCTATGATGCTCCTCAGAAACCAGAACAAAAGGCCGGGCATGATGGCTCACACCTGTAATCCCCATGAACTGAGATCATGACAGTGTACACCAGCCTGGGCAACAGCGGGAGACACTGTCTCAAAAACAAACACTCAGAAACACAGCTGGAAACACTTGTAGTCTGTGTCATGCTTTCTATCTCGTATCCTGGACCATGTAGACAATTCTGCTCAGAGCCTCCAGGGGCATCTCTGCCTCAAGCAGGATGATGTTCAACTGTATTAGTCCATGTGTTCATGGATTTTCTGTTTTTATGTAAAGCCATTGCATAGGAGAGCCCTAAGCTCCTGATGCCTGACAGAAGGGTCCTCGCTGCAGAAAACAATGACACATACATCAAGAGCATATATGGCGTAAAATTGCAATAGAGAATACAAACCAGGAAGTGCCAAGACAGACAAGGGCAGATTCCTCGTGTTTGGAGGGACATTTTTCTCACCTACAGATTCCAGGTTCCTGTAGTTCTCCAACATCACTTCCCTGTATAAAGCCCTCTGCGCAGGGGTCAGGCATTTCCACTCTGCCAAAGAGAATTCTATAGCCACATCCCTGAAAGTCAAGCATCCCTAAAATGAAAAACACATTTCAACAAAACTTTATGCAGGAGTGAGTTACCATCTTCAAGTGAAATAAGAAAAAAGAAAATAAGTATTGATTTGATCCCAGATTGTGTTTTGACAAATCCACTTTAGGTATCTTTGAACATTTTTTCTGTGTAGTTGCTTTTTATTATACTTTTCCACAATAAATTTTTTTTTTTTTTTTTTTTCTTCTTGAGACGGAGTTTCGCTCTTGTTGCCCAGGATGGAGTGCAATGGCGCGATCTCGGCTCACCGCAACCTCCGCCTCCTGGGTTCAGGCAATTCTCCTGCCTCAGCCTCCTGAGTAGCTGGGATTACAGGCACACGCCACCATGCCCAGCTAATTTTCAGTATTTTTAGTAGAGACGGGGTTTCACCATGTTGAGCAGGTTGGTCTCGATCTCTCGACCTTGTGATCCACCTGCCTCGGCCTCCCAAAGTGCTGGGATTACAGGCTTGAGCCACCGCGCCCGGCTTCCACAATAAATTTAAGAATCTTATAAGCCACTGAGGAAGTCTCCACTAAATGCGGAGGCTCATGTTTATAATCCAAGCACTTTGAGAGGCCAAGGCGGGTGGAGCTCAGGAGTTCGAGACAATCCAATGCAACATGGTAAAAGTCAGTCTCTACTAAAAATACAAAAAAAATTAACTGGGTGTGGAAGCATACGTTTCTTGTCCCAGCTACTTAGGAGGGTGACGCAAGAGATTCACTTGAACTGCAGCAGCAAATTTCACAGTCAGCTGAGATTACACCACTGCACTCCACCTTGAGCTGCAGAGTGAGACTCTGTCTAAAATATATATATATATATATATATATACACACACATATACATATATATACATATGTATATATATAGACACATATACATATATATACATGTGTATATATATATACACACACATATATATATACACACACACACATATGTATGTGTGTGTGTGTGTGTGTAATAAAAAGGGAAGGTAGCCGGGCACGGTGGCTCAAGTCTGTAATCCTAGCACTTTGGAAGGCCGAGGCGGGTGGATCACGAGGTCGAGAGATTGAGACCATGCTGGTCAACATGATGAAACCCCGTCTCTACTAAAAATACAAAAAAAAATTAGCTGGGCATGGTGGTGCACACCTGTAATCCAAGCTACTCAGGAGGCTGAGGCAGGAGAATTGCCTGAACCCAGGAGGCGGAGGTTGCGGTGAGCCGAGATCGCGCCATTGCACTCCAGCCTGGGTAACAAGAGCGAAACTCTGTCTCAAAAAAAGGGAAGGTATAGTGGCTCACACCTGTAATCCCATCACACTAGGAGACTTAGGTGGGTAAATCACTTGAAGTCAGGAGTTTGAGACAAACCTAGACAACCTGGTGAAACCTAGTATCTATCAAAAATTTAACAATTAGCTGGGCATGGTGGGGGAAAGCCCCTGTAATCCCAGCTGTTTAGGAAGCTGATGAAGAGCAATCCTTTGAACTCTGAAGGTGGAGATTGTAGTAAACTTTGATCATGCCGCTGCCCTCTGGCCTGGGCAACACAGTGAGACCCTTCAAAAAAAAAAAAAAAGTGCCGGGCGCGGTAGCTCACGCCTGTAATCCCAGCACTTTGGGAGGCCGAGGCGGGTGGATCACAAGGTCAAGAGATCGAGACCATACTGGTCAACGTGGTGAAACCCCGTCTCTACTAAAAATACAAAAAAATTAGCTGGGCATGGTGGCGCGTGTCTATGATCCCAGCTACTCAGGAGGCTGAGGCAGGAGAATTGCCTGAACCCAGGAGGCGGAGGTTGCGGTGAGCTGAGATCATGCCATTGCACTCCAGCCTGGGTAACAAGAGCGGAAGTCCATCTCAAAAAAAAAAAAAAAAAAAAATACATACATACATATACATATATATATATTTGTAGTTAATCATGTGTTTCTACACACTGTGGGTTTGGCCAGGCACAGTGGCTCATATCTATAATGCCAGTACTTATGGAGGCTGAGGCGAGCAGATCACAAGATCACAAGATTAAGACCATCCTGGCCAACATGGTGAGACCCCATTTCTACTAAAAATACAAAAATTAGCTGGGTGTGGTGGTGTGCAGCTATAGTCCCAGCTACTCAGGAGATTGATGCAGGAGAATCACTTGAACTAGGGAGGCAGAAGCTGCAGGGAGCCGACATACCATCACTGCACTCCAGCTTGTCGACAGAGTAAGACTCTGTCCTAAATAAATAAATAAATAAATAATGGCTTATCCATTAATGCACTCTTACACACACTTCAAATCACATCTACATACACACTTATGGGTAACTTCAGGTTAAGACATTACACAAAAACCTAGAGAGGACACATCAGCAGCTACTTGCCAGGCTGAGCTGGGAGGATTGCTTGAGCCCGGACGGCAGAGGTTGAACTGAACCTAGATCGCACCACTGCATTCCATCCTGGGGGACACAGTGAGACTCCATTACCCTCACCCCTAAAGAGTTGGAAGCTCAATGAATTAAGATAAAACTTTAAAAAATTATAAAAAGCAAGGCACAAAGAAAATGAGGTCAACCATGATATAGAAATTATAAAGTAGTACACAGAAACTCTGGAGCTAAAAACACAGTAACCAAATGAAAAAACTTAATATATGAGTTCAAAATTAAAAATCATTATGTAAATTAAAAATTAGTAAAGAAGGGACAGGCAAGGTTGCTCACACATGTAATCCCAAAACTTTGGGAGGCCGAGGTGAGCAAATAACTTAAAGTCAGGTGTTCAGAGAGCAGTCTGGCCAATATGGTGAAACCTTGTCTCTACTGAAAATACAAAGATTAGTCAGGTGTGGTGGTAGGCTCCTGTATTTCCAGCTACTCTAGAGTCTGAGGCAGGAGAAGCGCTTGAATATAGAAGGCAGGTGTTGCAGTGAGCTGAGACTGTACCACTGCACTTCAGGCTGGATGACAGAGAGAGTGAGACTGTCACAAGCAAGTAGAAAATAAATAAATAAATAAAGATCAAGAATAGTAGCTTATGGCCGTAATCCCAGCACTCTGAAAGGCTGAGGCAGGTGAATCTCCTGAGGTCAGGAGTTTGAGACCAGCCTGACCAACATGGAGAAACACTGTCTTTACCAAATACACAAAATTAGCTCGGCATAGTGGCATTTGCTATTCGTGAGGCTGACGCAGGAGAATCACTTGAACTCAAAAGCAGAGGTTGCAGTGAGCCAAGATTGTGCTATTGCACTGCAGCCTGGGTATCAAGAGCAAAACTCCTTATCAACAAGAACAAAAAATTAGTGAAGAGGAAAACAATGAAGAATAAATCAGAAAGAAAGGAGTCTAAACAGATGAACAGGATGTCATCAAGGATAACATCCTACACATTATGAAACTTCGAGGCCAGGCAGGAAGGCTTGCACCTCTAATTCCAGCATGTTGGAAGGCCAAGGTGGGGAAAAAAACCTGAAGTCAGGAGTTCAAGCCTGACCTGGCCAACATGGTGAAATTCTGTTTGTATTAAACATACCATAATTAGCCAGGTGTGGTGCTGTGCTCCTGTAATGTAATCTCAGTTACTTGGGAGGTTGAGGTGAGACAATCACTCTAACTCAGGATGCAGAGGTTGAAGTCAGCCGAGACTGCACCACTGCAATTATCCTGAGCGACAGAGCAAAACTCCATTAAAGAAAATAAATAGCCAGGCGCGGTGGCTCAAGCCTGTAATCCCAGCACTTTGGGAGGCCGAGGCGGGTGGATCACGAGGTCGAAAGATCGAGACCATCCTGGTCAACATGGTGAAACCCCGTCTCTACTAAAAATACAATAAAACGAGCTGGGCATGGCGGCGCATGCCTGTAATCCCAGCTACCTAGGAGGCTGAGGCAGGAGAATTGCCTGAACCCAGGAGGCGGAGGTTGCGGTGAGCTGAGATCGTGCCATTGCACTCCAGCCTGGGTAACAAGAGCGAAACGCCGTCTCAAAAAAAAAAAAATAAATAAAATAAAATAATATATATATATATATATATATACATATATATATATATATATATATATAAAACAAATTCCAGAAATCCCAGAAGACAGTGAGGGAGAAAGGAACAGAAAAGCCATATATATATAACAAATTCCAGAAATCCCAGAAGACAGTGAGGGAGAAAGGAACAGAAAAGCCTATTGGAAGACATAATGATCAAAAATTGCTAATTACAGAATGCAAAAGAAACAAATTCAACGCCTTAAGAATATCCAATTAGGATAAATCCAAGAGACCTATAACAAACATCATAATAAAACTCAAAATTCAGAGATAAAGAAAGAATTCTAACAACAACCAAAAGAAGAGCTAACTGTCACCCAAGATGGTGTTGCTGTAATATTCTTAAAAAATTGCTCAGGAGAAACATCAGAGTATACAGACAAGTAGGATGGTACAGTCAAAGCTCAAAACAAAAACAAAAACAAAAGCCACTGGCAAATAAAAATACTATACCCAAGAAAATGATCCTTCCAAAAGTATCAAAAAAATTACATCTTCCTTAGTTAAACAGAAGTGTATGGAGTTGGTCATCACTACATCTGCAGCTATACTCTGCAGAATTGAAGGTTCTGGATGGAAAAATTACCTAGAACCGTGTTTTATATTAATATAAATACACCTAACATTATTTATTTATTTATTTATTTATTTATTTTTTGAGACGGAGTTTCACTCTTGTTGCCCAGGCTGGAGTGCAATGGTGCGATCTCGGCTCACCGCAACCTCTGCCTCCTGGGTTCAGGCAATTCTCCTGCCTCAGCCTCCTGAGTAGCTGGGATTACAGGCACGCGCCACCATGCCCAGCTAATTTTTAGTATTTTTAGTAGAGACAGGGTTTCACCATGTTGACCAGGATGGTCTCGATCTCTTGACCTCGTGATCCACCCGCCTCGGCTTCCCAAAGTGCTGGGATTACAGGCTTGAGCCACCGCGCTCGACCTAACA